CAGCACTTCTGGAAAACCACGGACCGGTATCCCTTCTTACATTCATTGCTAAGACACTTTAGCGACTCGTTTTCGACCAATTATCTACAACAACCAGTCTGGTTTCAAAAGCGTCACTCAACTGAGACGGCCCTGCTCTCAGATATTAAAGTTCTGAGACTGGCAAAAGCAGATTCCAAATCCTTAATACTTTGACACAATTAACCACCAGATCCTCCTGTCAATCCTCATGACATCTCAGGAACCGTACTCCAATGGTTCAAGTCTTACCTCTCAGTAGGTCCTTCAGGGTGTCGAGGAGACCAACATTTTTTTGCAGTGTAGCTACTGGAGTGCCTCAGGGCTCAGTGCTGCGACCGCTTCTCTTCTCCATCTACATGTCATCATTAGGATCTGTCATTGGAACTCCACCGAACACATTGCTAGAGCTGTCCGGTCCTGCAGATTTGTCTTATTCAACATTAGAAGGATCAGGCCCTTCCTATCGGAGCTACACAACTCCTTGTCCAAGCTTTTGTTCTATCCAGACTGGACTGTTGTAATGCTCTATCCTTCCAGCATCACTGTCAAATCTCTGCAACTGATCCAGATGCTGCAGCAAGAGTGTCTCTATTGAGCCGAAGAGACACACGTCACTCCTCTCCTCATAAACTTGCACTGGTTTCCAACAGCCGCTCGCATCAAATTTGCTCTGCACTATACCTAAACTCACTACTCCAGACCGATGTGTCTCCAGAAGCTTGTGTTCTGCAGGTGAACAGCGTATTGTGGTGCATCATCCCAAAGTGACACAGAATCACTTTCACAGACCTTCACCTGGACTGTTCCCTGCTGGAGGAATGTCCACGGGTACTGGGCTGGACTAACTGGGACTGGTCACGGCACTTGCATAATGTTGTCCTATGGTTGGTTTGATTGCTGCTAATGCTATTGCTCTCCTCATGTGTAAGTCGCTTTGAATAGAAGCGACTAAATTATTAAATGTAAAAATGTAATGTAAATATCAAGTCTTTTTAATGAAAAAGATTTTGCTTAAACCATGGGTGTTGGAACCATTGTATATGGGTGGGACAATATCTACCCACTTTTTAAGACCAATGATATTGGACCCACTCACCTTTACTGTCTCTAATTCAGCACATACGTCTGCTCACTTTTCAGTCACTTGCAGTGATCTAATTACTATCCCCATCTTAATAACGCCGTTACCGCCAAAAAATGCGTTACTGTATTTGATAGGGCTGTGTAACGATACACCAAACCCACGATTCGGTTCGTATCAAGATTTTTGACGCACAATTCGATACAAACCTCGATTCTTTTGGGGGTGTGGTGAAAAGCGCGAGTCTCAGGTTCCTATGGGACATCATACGAAGTTTAAAACATTTAAATAGACACATCATGTAGTAATTAATGTATATGAATCTTAGTTGATTATAGGCTATTAGAACTGGTTGCTGAGACGGAGAATTAACGCGCTGTTTGATTTGTGATCGCGCTGTGCTTATTCAATTCATTCGAATAGCCTGTATATTGAACAAAGCTTAAATCGTTTAAATATACATACAATAACATACAATATCCTATTTGAGTTGATATTACTCTTGCCAAGCTGTGGTTTCTGAGAGATGCACGCATCCTGCGCTCGTTTCATTTTTACTCTCACTCATTCACTTCACTCATTATTGCATAGATATTTTAGATAAGGTAATTGGCTTCAGGAACACCCCTAATCTACTCCAAAAAAAAAAAAAAAAAAAAATCTGGAGGATGACCCACCCACATTTTTTTTGCTTCCGACGCCCATGGCTTAAACCAGTGGTTCTCAACCTTTTTTGGGCCAGCGCCCCCTATCCAATATCCAGGTCCCCGACCGCCCCCCACCCCCAAACTAATGAGCGAGCAGGAACGAGTAACACATGAAATAAGTACAAAATTGTCATTTATTAATACAATCGCACTATCCTCCACAGTGATTAATCCAAAAAACAAGCTATAAACTGCATTGAATAGCAATAGCAGTGTTTCTCACAGGATTTTTGGTCAATCTGTGGTGGGTGAACCTCGGGCCTTCTAGGGGGGTTCAGGGGCAAGCCCCCCGTAAGAAAAATGTGTGCATTTTAATGTTAAATGCATCAATATGGTGTACTTTGAGAGTTCAAAATTAAAAGCTCCAACCCATATTCAGTGTGCAAAATAAACAAAGAAAAATTCAAACCTCTTTTAGTTGTGTTCGTCTACATTACACTACTACATAATAATAGTTATATTATATTAATCCCATGACATAGCCATATATTATAAAACAAATGCACTGAAAAATAAAGGACAGTCAATTAAAGCGGTAATGTTTGCACGTAGGTTTTATTACGCATTTAGGAGAGTATTGCAAGAAGCTGCTTACATTAACCTTACTTTCGAAAAATAAATAAATACAATCATGATTTTTCATGAAAAAAATATGTTAGAATTGTAGGCCTAAAATACCTTGGTATCAGGTATAATTAATACAATTACAATTAATTTGGTTTGTCATGATTAATTTGTTTTCATAATCAGTAAAAAGAAAAATCTTCTAACAAGAATAAACACATATGAACAATTCAATTATTATTGTATTATTAATTGTTTTTATATCTTGAAACTAACGTTACCCAAGCAGCGTTTCGCTCTCAGATGTTATGGCAAATGAATAGCCTACATTACCAAAATGTGATTGCAGAATATATTTAAATATTAATATAATATAAAAATTATCCATCAAATTGTCATTTTCAAATTGAGTTAACAATAATGCCTGACCAGTAAATTACTTGGTGAACAAAGAAAACATTTTGGCATTAGGCATTGGAATTAGTTAATGCCTAAAAAATTTAAACTTTTACCTTATACATAGAATTTAGTTTAATTTTGAAATTCGTAGCCGGAGTAAATGGGAACATGATTTATTGAAAATATTTGAAAAAATAGAAGTGTTTCTTAAGTCAATACTTTTTAATGGCTTGTCAACTTTCCATTCCTGAGAAGCCCATGCGTGATTCTAGCCAGCGCTGGATTGTTGTCAGCGCGAAACACACGAATGCAGATTCTTGTCAGTGCTGGATTCTAGTCAGAGCGCTGGTCTATAACTGGAAAAATAATAGAGTCGTTGCAAAAGTAACGATACATAGCTTAGGCTACATGTACATTAAACTGGAACACTCATTTAAACAGCATTCACACCACAACATGACTGCACATTATATTTTTGACATTATTGATACTGCTTTCAATCGTAATGCAATAGAAATGAACACAAAAAACCTGCTAGTATACTGACGGTGGACTTGCGGTCAGGAGTAGGCTAGAACGGCCGCGGACGAATGATTTTCTTTTTTTTATTTGAGCGCTGCCGACGTTTTCTTTCACGCGCACCATAGACGCGCACGCACACACAATATGACATCACAATCTACGCATATGTTTTACAACATAATTTACCATATATGGTCCTAACACTTTTTAAATAGCCCAAAGTGTTTATTACAAATAAATTACTAAATGCTTAAAATGAATCACAGTAAATGAACACAAATTTGCGTTATTTAAACTCGTGAAGTGAACGCCCCCCATTAACACCTGAACGCCCCCCTTTCAAGACTCTTGCGTCTAACGCCCCCCGTTGTTCTCTAAACGCCCCCTGGGGGGCGGTACCGCCCCCGTTGAGAACCACTAGCTTAAACCATGAACAAATATCTGCCAATGCGGCCAGAAAACTAATATCGTTTTCCCTTCAATTTTTATGACCCCATTGGCAGATATTTGTTCTTGTTTTAAGCATAAACTCACTTCATTTTGATCAAAAAGACTTAACATCTTAAATCATTTTGCATCTCAAGTAAATGCATATTTACTGTACTTTTTTGACATCATCTTAATGGAAAGATTTTTCATGTAAATCACTGTAATATAATCTGACTGTAAATGATGTGCTGCTGTCTCATATTTGCATGTTTGACAAGCTGCACAAAGACACACTTCACTACAACTGAAATGTATTGTGACATCATAGCAACAGTGATGCAAATAAAGCAGTTGTTTATTATACCCTTCGGTCTCCAGTCTCCAATATTCTCCATCTTCAACCCAAAGACTCTAGTTTGTGTCAGTTTACACTATTACGACACTAATCCTTCCTAACTTTACTGACCCTCTTCAAGCCACTGTCTCTCACTCATTCAAAAGGACTGTTGTTTAACCTGCCATGTTCACCCGCTTGCGTTACTCTACAGTTTAAGACTCAACGCCACCATTTCATGCTCACCACTTCCCTGCACATTTACTGTACCTGTTCCCCTCAGTGCTGCCGTTCCATCAACATCAGTGCTGTTCAATAAACTGTTTTGGGTTCAATTCAATCATCCTATCTGAGTCTCCGTAACAGATATCACATTTCTGCTTTATAGTTAAATTGAACTCCATTTATCATTTGTTAGTAATAAAGAGACACTCACAATAACATGGTTTTGCATATTACCTGAAAACCGCCCCTGGTTTCCTGAGTAGATCGTGTTTTTTTCCGCATCACTAATTTAATCTAAACCGCATGTGAACTTTCATCCCCGAGGGACAATGGGACACTCAAGACTATTATCTGCATCAAACAAGTAAAGAACATATACAAATGAAAAGTTAATGTGTAAATGAAAAATTCAAATGTGACACTGATGATGAAAACAGTGACACCGTTTTCTTTTAGAGCTGAAATTAACTAATTTCCCTGTTATCACTGTCACGCAACTTTGACACAATCTGTATTTAATAAACGTTTTATAAATAAAGATGACTTGAATAAAAATATACTTGTGCTCTTTTTCCCAATAGACTGAAAGAATATTTTATGAAAATCCAAAATCTCAAAATTAACCAGTGCATAGTAGATACCACTCTCTCACTCACTCTCTCTCTCTCTGGCTCTCTCTCTCTCTCTCTCTTTACATTAAATAGACAAGACAACACACTTACTGGTCAGTAAATCTCCAGATACACACACAATCGCACAGATATCACCACATCGACAGGTAAGAGAGTTTAAGACAGTTTTAACTTTACACTTATTATATAGGATTGATTAAGCTGTGTTTTGTACTAAATTATACATTATTAAATTATAAATTAGTTGTATTATTTACTCAAAACTAAAGGTTCTTTATTGACATTGATGGTTCCATGAAGAACCTTTAACATCCATATAATCTTTTACATTGCACAAAAGGTTCTTTATAGTGGAAAAAAGTTCTTTAGATTTTTAAACGTTTTACACACTAAGAAAACATGATTCTTTTAAGAACTGATAAATGAAAGGCAGAGGAACCAAAAACAAGAAAGGATCTTCTGTAGGATCACTGCAAAATTTTATTTATTTATTTTAAATTGGGTAACGCTTCCTTTTACAGTACAGTACTTGCGTGTACTTATGCCGCGTTCCAGGCAACATGTAACCCGTGTTTTTCCAACCTTATACCCGTGAAAGTGCACTGGAACTGCAGTCAAACTCGTGACTTCCCACCCGTGAACTCGTACTAGATCGATGTACTCCTAGTTACGAGCTCTGACGTCACATAGCCTGCGAAACCATACAAAACAACTATGGTTTGTTTACATCTAGCTACCACAATTCCTTGCGCTCAGGTAGTTTGGCGTGACTGGCCTGGAACGCTACAAAGTCGTGAGTCGTGGTTTGAAGTCGTGATTTACGTCCTCAAAAACCTGCCTGGAACGCAGCATTACAGAAAGTACTGGCTAATATAAGGTAAGTACATGGGTTAGGGGTAGGTTCAGGGTTAGTACCTAGTTATTACCCAGTAATTGTAATTACTATAATAAGTACATATTAAATTGCGTTAAATAAAAATTGCGTTTACAGTAATACACTATAGAACAGCACTGTAATTCCAGATCTCAATTTTTTATGAGACAGAGTTTTATCCTGAAGGGTTTAAAGCGGAAACGTGCAGCATAAAACTGTATTTTAACACTGCACTGACACGCTTCAGCTTTAGGAGCTTTGTGTGTGTATTTATAATTGATGCGGAAGCTAATAAGCAATGATAAAGTAGGAATGACATGCTCTGAAGTTCTGGATTCTGTACGAACTTCAGCTGCAGTATTTCAAAGCAAATGAAGCTTGTTTGTTGAGACTGTGTTCTGTCTTTCCCTCAGGAATGGAGAGAATCACACTGACGTCTCTTCTGCTCACAGGTGAGTGAGTGTTTAATGCAGTGCTTCAGTTCTAGTGCTCGTAGTGTTAGTGCTGTGCTGAAAGTGTTCAAGCTGAGTGTGAAAGTTTGTGCTTCAGACACCAATGATTCCTCAAATCATGTGTAATTGAGGAGATCAGGCGCACAACTTTACTTAAAGGTTTTTTATTCTTTAATTATTAGGCAATTATTAGCTATTAGGCAAACTTTACATTCAGTTTGCCTAATAGCTGTTCAAGAAGGAAAGATGCTCCCCAAATTAATAAACACTATGTTCTTTTTTATATTCCCATGAAAAGAAAAATAATTGTCAACACCCAAAAAGTAAATACAAGAAAAAGAAAAGCAACTACAATAAACAAAACAATGTAACGGATGGGTTCTTTACAGGAATTGGTCATTAGGTTGCACAATTCAATAAAGTAAAAATTGATGTGTGTAAGTCTTATCTGATGATATCCAAGAAAGCGTTTAAAAATTTCGGTCTCTTTCTTGAATTGAGTCCGGATTAAGTCAGATCTCTTGAAACGGATTTTGAGCCATCTACAATCTGCTTCGGGCTGAAGCGTGCTTACCTGTTGGACTTTGCTCTACCCCGGGTCGTCATCCACCTCGCTTTCGCTTTCGCTTTGGGAAGCGTTTGCGGTAAACTACGGCAAATCGGACTGTTGGCTGTTGCGCTATAAGCGTGCTTACTTGTTGCATGGTTACGGCTTGACATCTTATCGTCACGTTGTTGCTTTGGAAAGCATTGGCGTTGAACAACAGCGCGGAAAGGAACGGCAGCTACTTGAAGAACCCCCGATTTCATAAATCATCTTGGCGGTGGGGATTATAGCAGTCAAGGTCGGTGATGTTTCTTGCCTAATTTAAACTCTCCAACAGCTGATTGCCCGTAAATAAGACTCATATCCTCCACAATATCGCTCTGCCCTTTGCCCTTTTGTCGGGGTTGTGGAGCTGCTCGAGCGAGCTTAATTTTTGCCTCGGATTTAGTCTGAACGTTTCTGATTTCAAACGCTGATAATATGAAGATGTTGCTTTTCTGTATGGTAATCTTCATGCTTGGACTATGGGACACACAAACAAAAACGGAAGAAAAAGCGATGTATCTGTCGCGTTTCCATATGTTTCTTCCCTCCAAATGTACGGACACTACTTTTATATTCCGGGCTGTTATTAATTCCACGCAAATGGACACAAGGACAAAGAACTTACTTTTCTTTGCTTTTATCCCTAAGATTTCTGTATCGGACTCTCGAAATGATCAATGTAGTATTACATCTAAAAATGTAAGGCAGCGATATTTGATAATGTTGCTGCTTTTGCTGGCCGGTATAAATCCAAATCCTGGTCCAGCGGGATTAGTTTCAACTCCTCTAGATTTTTCAAATAGATCAGGCCTTAAAATGGTACATCTAAATGTTCGTAGTCTGTTGCCAAAACTAGATCAATTACATATATGGGCTAAGACGACTAAAGCAGATGTTTTGGTTATCTCTGAGACGTGGCTTAAAAAATCTATTTCAAACCATGACATTGCATTAGAAGGGTATAATGTGTTTCGAGTTGATCGTAAAAGTAAAGGGGGTGGAGTTGCAATGTACATTAAATCGAACTATCATGCAACTGTTCTTAAATCAGTCTCTTTCCCTAAACAGTTTGAATTACTGGCCATCGACCTGGAATATGGAAAGGATTGTCATTTATGTATAGTAGGTTGTTATAGACCACCAGCAGCCATCAGTGATGCTCTCACCTCACTGTCAGCTGTCCTAAACGACATACTTTCTAAAGATCTTGTATTATTGGGTGATTTGAATTGGAATTGGCTGACTTCAAATTCAGATCAGTTCAAAGCATATTGTGATTCTGTGAACCTCACTCAACTCATTGAATCAACAACACGGCCGAATTATAAGAACCCAAGTAAGTCCACTTTAATAGATCTTATACTAACAAATAAACCCCATAAATACACCTATACAGGGGTCTTTCCTGATGATGTCAGTGATCATTGCACTATAGCGGTTATAAGAAATTGTAAAATTCCCAAAGTCAAATCTAGAATTATTACTAAAAGAAACTTTAAATTGTTTGATATTCAGGGGTTTTTACATGAATTGTTTACATCTGACTGGGACAGATTGTTTTTAATACCTGATGTGTCCATTGCATGGCAGTATTTTCACACCTTGTTCTTGAAGATTGTGAATAGGCACGCACCAGTTAGGACTTTCAGAGTAAAAGGCCGCGATAACCCATGGTTTTCAAATGAATTATCTGAACTCCTGCATGAAAGAAATTTGGCTTGGGCCACTGCGAGGAAGTCAGATACAGAAAGAGACTGGGTAGCGTTTAGAGTATTGAGAAATAAATGCACAGCTCTTATACGCAGATCTAAATCTGAATATTATTTAAAAGAAACTTCACAAAATTTGAATAATCCTACAAAATTTTGGAAAACCATCAAATCACTGTCTCCCTCCACATTATCTAATGATTTTCCTGACCAAATTTTAGCAGACGATATTCTCATTAATGATAATATGGTTACGGTAAATATTTTTAATAAACACTTTATTTCTTCAAGTTCTATTTTTAAAGAAACTCCGGTGAGTGTTACACCAAATCCATCTCTTCTGAGAGAAGATAGTCCGATTTTTAATTTTTCTCCAATCTCAAGAAGTGAGGTCTTAAAAGGTTTAAAAAATCTAGACACTAAGAAGTCTGCAGGGCCTGATGAAATTGAGCCACATTTTTTGAAATTGGCTGCCGAGATCATTGCTGGCCCATTAGCCTATATTTTTAATTTATCATTGGAGCAGAATATTGTTCCTGATGTTTGGAAATCTGCTTTGGTTGTACCCCTGCTGAAAGGCGGTGATCCAACCATTCTAAATAATTACAGACCGATTTCGAAGCTATCAGCTGTGGCTAAAATTTTAGAATCTATTGTCACTGAACAGCTAAAGGAATTTTTAACTAACAATAGTATTTTATCTAGGTTTCAGTCCGGTTTTAGAAAAAATCATAGTACAGTAACTGCTACTATGAAAGTCTTAAATGACATTACCTGCGCCCTAGATACTGGAAGATCATGTGCTGCAATGTTTATTGATTTGACTATAGCTTTTGATACGGTCAATCATGGTATCCTTTTGTCGCGTTTACATTGTATCGGTCTCTCTGAAACCGCATTAGGCTGGGTCAGGAATTATTTAAAGAATAGGTGTCAAAGAGTGCAAATTAAGGGGTCTCTTTCTGATAAGCTCACCATTGAATCTGGTGTGCCACAGGGGTCCATTTTGGGTCCCCTGTTGTTTACATTATATATTAACAACCTTGGTGATAATCTATCAGATACAAGTATCCATTTATATGCCGATGATACCATTTTATATTGTTTTGCATCTTCTATTGAAAATTGCATTTTAAAGTTGCAGGAAGCATTTGAATTAGTTCAGCGTAACCTATCTTCTTTAAAATTAGTCCTAAATGATAAGAAAACAAAATACATGGTCTTTTCTAGGAAACATAAGACTGATTCTTCTCCACCACCTATTTACACTTTGCAGGGTAACTCTATAGAATTGGTCTCCTCTTATAAATACCTAGGGTTTGTGTTGGAAGAGGACTTATCATTTAAGTTACATGTTAAACAACTGTTGTCTAAATTAAGGTTACAGCTGGGCTTTTATTTTCGGAACAGTGCATGTTTCTCACAGTCAGCCAAGAGAAAGTTGGTGGAATCTACCTTTTTACCTATCTTAGATTATGGAGATGTTTTTTACAGAAATACCACTAAAGCTCTCTTACAATCAGTAGATTCTGTTTATCACTCTGCTCTAAGATTTATAACTTGCACAAAATATCACACTCACCACTGTGCACTGTATGAAATGGTAGGTTGGCCTTCACTTCACATAAGAAGGTACAAACACTGGCTCATACTTGTATACAAGGCATTAGTCGGCCAGCTTCCTCAATATATCAATAGCTTATTAATTTTTAATAGTCAAGGGTATAATCTACGTTCAAGTAGATATATTCTGTTAAATGTTCCTTTAATGAAGACAGAGTTTGGAAAAACTGCTTTTATTTATAGTGCATCAGCTGCTTGGAATGAGATCCAAAGTTCATTGAAACTTGATGAACTTATTTCAGTACATGTGTTCAAGTTACATTTAAACAAATTATTCAAATCTGTCTGCACTTGCTCTTAACGTTTAATTTTGTTTTATTTTTATATATGTGTGTGTTGTGAATTCTGTTTTATGTAGTTATGTATATTGTGTGCTGCTATTTTGGCCAGGGCTCACTTGTAAATGAGATATTTATCTCAATGTGTTTATTTCCCTGGTTAAATAAAGGTTTAATAAAAAATAAAAAATGATATAGTTCATCAAACAATGTCCAAAGATGAAGCAGTCCCTAAGTAGATGAATAATCCAACCATTTGAGATATATTCACTCCAAACGATAACAGTTCTCATGCATCAGACTCTTCCAAATCAGGAACAGTCATAAGTAAGCCAAAAGTCCCAAGCTTACATCCCTCTGGGCTTTAAATCCATATTTAGTTTGCAACATGCAGTGTTAAAGTCACCGATAAAGAGTCCTTCTAAAATACATACAAATAAACTCAAACTTCTTAGCAACAAACATCATCATCAAGGCATCCTTTTAAATAACAGGAAAGAAAACAAATCCTTACTTTAAGTTGAGCTTGAAATGAAACATTTCCCAACCAGGACATGCACAAATGCAGGTAAGCCATGCTTTCTGCTGCTGTTCTGCAACTCCCTCTACAAACCCACCTTTACTTAACCCTTGTGCCTCCTTAGAGACAATTTTGGCCTTTTCAGTTTTGTTTTTTTGATCACTTTGGCTGTGTTAATGCTAACTGCATAACATTTGGCACAAGTGTGTATTTTTATTGTAATTTTACTATTTCACCGCTATTTCCCTAAAAAAATCTTTTTTGCACTTGGTACACAA